ACAATGTCAGCAGGTTTAACTATCGAAATACAATGTCGACAGGTTTAACTGCTACAATACAATGTCAGCAGGTTTAACTATCGAAATACAATGTCGGCAGGTTTAACTGCTACAATACAATGTCAGCAGGTTTAACTATCGAAATACAATGTCGACAGGTTTAACTGCTACAATACAATGTCAGCAGGTTTAACTATCGAAATACAATGTCAGCAGGTTTAACTGCTACAATACAATGTCAGCAGGTTTAACTATCGAAATACAATGTCGACAGGTTTAACTGCTACAATACAATGTCAGCAGGTTTAACTATCGAAATACAATGTCGACAGGTTTAACTGCTACAATACAATGTCAGCAGGTTTAACTATCGAAATACAATGTCGACAGGTTTAACTGCTACAATACAATGTCAGCAGGTTTAACTATCGAAATACAATGTCGACAGGTTTAACTGCTACAATACAATGTCAGCAGGTTTAACTACCCGAATACAATGTCAGCAGGTTTAACTGCTACAATACAATGTCAGCAGGTTTAACTATCGAAATACAATGTCGACAGGTTTAACTGCTACAATACAATGTCAGCAGGTTTAACTATCGAAATACAATGTCGGCAGGTTTAACTGCTACAATACAATGTCAGCAGGTTTAACTTCAGGAATATAATATCGGCAGGTTTAACTAACGAATTGCATTGTCAGCAGGCTGTACCGATTCATGGTTCTAGTACCACAGACATGTGATTTGGTATCGAAAAACAGTAACGCAAACTGGCTTATCATGTGCTCGGGTATTGTCTCCCTGATATTACAGACCGTAACAAAATGTTTTGTACGTCAACTATCTGTAACAACAAGATATCGTCAAGAAACAGAAGCTGTCTTACAATGAAGTCTGATATTGTAGACCTGAAGAAAATTACAGATATTTTAGACTGATAACCGAATAAGATTAGAGAATTTCTATTTTCAACATCATCTTTCCATTGCACCTACTATTCGCCTAGTCTATGACAAATCAAGGACACAATTCAGTGTCATTGTTATCTGGGATCATTGACTTAAGCTGATTTTAAACATGAAAATGACATAGACATGAAAGAGATAACCGAATTTAACACATAATAGGAAATCTTAGATTAAGGTATAAAAACCAATAACTGAAATAAAATGCTTTCCTTATGCGGGTTTTTACTGCACTGTGCCTTTTTAACCATCAAACGCACCAAGGTCTAACCACAGAGGAAACATTAAAAGTAATTAGCACATTTAACATCTAGTATAAATAACAGACAAGAATAAAACGCTCGGAAAAGTTATTTCAATATTTTTATAGATGTTTTAAAAACCCTTTGACAGGAAGCACTTTCATTGAAAACATTTGTTAAGAATTATTGCAATTAGAATGTTTGAGATACAAATTGAAGTTTAAAACATTTCAATCGATGCAGCTGGATGATGTCCTAATTGTATGTAACCTAATTGTATCAGGGAATACATCTTTATTGATATTCGCACGAGTTGACGAGTTGCTCTTATCAAATGAATTAATAGTTCGTGTTTTCACGGGCGAAGAGTAAAGGAGTTTAGTTACCTGTATGAAGGAGAAACAACATGCATTTTTGCATATTGTTGTAGTTTGATTGGAATCATGCAATATATGCACTAAACAGGCACTAATTAGCACGTGCAGCTCCTGGGTACATATGTGCACAGAACTGGCTCAGTGCGCTATCGTACATGTATATGACCGACATTTACCATTCCATGCGAAAAATGAGGTTACTAGTTACAAAACGTGATAAACAGAAAATGGATGATATTGCGTTATTCCAGCATAAAGTGTAAACAAAACATTACTGGGACAATTTAAGTCCATTTTAGTAGCAACATGCCATGGTTGAATGAACACGATTGTGTCACTTGAATCCATTTTATATAGCATCTGGATCTTATATGTCACATTGTAAATCATATTTTTTTCGTGTGGAAGTATGCTATCATGTATTTTTTTATTTTCGATGAAAATGACTTGAAACAAGTTACAAGGACAGTGTTGATCACTGGATCAGGTTTTTAACCCAGGTACATAAACTATATTTTATGTTAATAATCCCTAAATGTTGAAATCTGCGTGACTCTTGTTTATTCTGCAGAAATAATTCCAACTCCTTTTAACTAAAATCGAAAAACAATTCTTTTCATGATGTTTTGAATGTTCAGACACTGTTGCATACCATCATAAGTCAACATAATAAAATCACGTATGTAACGTTGTAATTCAAACTCAAAATCTATGAAACGAGGGCGAACAAGTACAAAGAATAAGATATCTGATCCTATGACGACTACTGTTAGGTTCATCAAGCAGACAACAATACAATCACCAAGTATACTCACCAACAAATCTAACTTCAATATACTGGTGACTATAAACTTTCCCGATAATTTACATCAACTCCCATTTTCACAACCTGTGTGATAGGTTCTTTTTTCCCGTCGGGAAATAAAGATGTTGAGAACACTGCAACATGCCAGACATCGATTTGGAAAGCAGGTAAATTACTATATAAAATGGAAAGAGTTAATTGAAATCATCACACTTATAGAGGTTTCGTTGTAGATCGAGGTATCATAGCTGCTAATATTGAAATGTTTGCGGTTTCATTACCTCTAGTTTTTCTGGGTATGCCCCATGGACAAGGTTAATAGTTTTCTTGTCATTGAAATATCAGACCGCAACAATACACTTTAAAGACTTAGAGGACTTGGGAAGGTCTTTGTGACATGTTTTGAATAGCAAATCCAAATACGCATGAAAAAAACCCCTAAACAATTCAGCCATTAGAAGAGCGTAGATTGTTCCCAAAAGTAGGCTAACGGTCTGTTGTAAGATTTTACTCAACGAAGATATCACCTCCAAATACCACATCTTTGTTTATACCATGGTGAACTGATCTCTCTACTGTGAACCCTCTGTTGCCTTTATTGATGTCTTGATGTCCACAGCCTTTCATTTCACAGTTTTTGTTGTATTGTTTGTTGATATTTAGATGAGTGTCATACTGGGTTCAAATTTTGGTCTGGTCAGACTGAGATATTGAGATTTATGTAAGCTTATCTTATCGGGCTTTTTTAACCTTCTGCGGTGTATAATCATCAATGCTCTCAAATAGCTCAATTAAGTGTGACCAGCAATTAGTTCGCCATGTGTAATGAGACTGTTACGATTGTGAATCAATAGCTTTACAGGGTCTGGTCCAACGTTATCACAATGAAGACGACATGGGATATGAGGAGGGTGCCATATGATATAAGAAAGAGGACGACATGGGACAAGAAGAAAGGCAGGTTTTCTGGTTCTCATGTTTTTGCAGTTTGATCTTAATCCCAAAGCAATGACTGAGATATTTAGGAGGCGTCTGACATATTGTCTGATGACTCAATGTAAAAGAGGTGCTATGTCGAAAGACAGATGGTCCTTATGTAGAGGTTCAAGGTATGTGGTTCGACGCTCTCAGGAAACTGAGAAACGGGCGGGTCGTGCTGTCGTGGCCGTGTCTTTGCTAGGAGTGGCATGCGACGGACCTCCCCTTTGTTGTCTGTGAGGTTGACACCTATTACTACAAGGGAATTCCGCCTCAAAATGACCTTGACTGTCCATGGGGTGATAAACCCAGCAAACGGGTTAGGTTTAATGACTTCACTGTTGAGCAATTTTTTGTTTACAGGTGTGATTTTAAACTTTACTCTACAAGAAACAAGAGAACGTCGTACCTATAATTAAATCGATACAAAGAAGGCAAATGGTAAAAGACATATTTACATGAAGATCATTGAAAAAAAATTATTGCAAGAATTAATGGTGCTTCGAAAAAGTGCATTTTGTAGCATTCAATAAATGTCAAGTTCTCAAAGTACGGAACTGCAAAGAAAAAAAAGCCCCGAGCTAAATAGCATGCGTCTAAATAGAACGAAATTCTCACAACGAATCATAATAGTATCATGTTGACGCTCATAAAGCTTTCCCATAGCTTTTCTACGACATGAGTATTTTTGTTGGTTGATGACAATCACGAAATTATATCGAGAATAAGGCATTGAAGGCCAGAAAGACTATGACATGTAAGCATGATAGACTGGGAAGTAAGTTTACTCTTTCATTGAAAATTTTTGTCTGTGCTGCAGCCGAACAGGAAGCACGATACCAATCTTCACTTCGCCAACTTGTTTGAGGATATGGATAATCCAGACTAAATCGACTTTGGTACTATACATATACTGTCAGGGAACTAGAAATAGGAATGTCTTACTCCACAATACTCTGTGTGTAAAGATGTTTATAATCCAGACTAAAGACTATACGGATTTAAGTGAGAGGTTGAGAATCTGGTGACAACTACAGAAATAAAAAGAGGTATGTGTACATTTTGTGATTTTATGTTACAAAAAGAAAAAAATGTTTTCTGTCAGTAACAAATTTTTTTTTTCTAACAAACTGATAGGAATCTGTGATGAGAAATCGATACAGTTTGTATAGATCTCTATATAGATGTAAATATAGCCAAATTCATTAACATTAAATCATAAGATGACAGTTTTGATTACATTAGTTATTTTATTCAAAAGCACATTTAGACAGCCAATAGGAGGTATAATAAGTTAACAATCAAACAAAGCAACAACGAAGAGGAATGTTGTCATAGAACATGACATTGTTTGGTGGCACAACTGTATATAAACAAATAGTCCACTAGTCCGTGGATAGAAATCTAACAAGCTAGTGGTGCTTCAAGTTCCAGATTGTGACAAGTCTATAAACGAGGTCATTGTAAACGTATTTATGCCAATCTCTGCTAAACTCTTAATTCTGTAGAGATGGATAGTTTTAAACCCTTGCACTAAAGTAATGTATCTATAAATAGCTACCCCAGTAAATAAGTAAGTAGCGCTAAGTCCCCTTTTTCGTCAGCTATTTCAGAAGTCGCTTAAAACATCATGGTCGGCTACTGTGTGGGGTGTCCGGAACATTTGATGACGTAATTGATTCTGAGTGTTCACGTGCCCGACGTCGGAGTTCCGCAACGCTGGATGTTCTCTGGTCCGGGGGAACCATCAAAGGGGGACAACTCGGTCTTGTGGTGCAGCAGGCGCAGAAAGGAAGGCACGCGGCTGTAAAGAGATATACGAATATTAGCTTGTGATGTGTCAGTGTTCAGATTCATTATCTCTTATGTGAGCAAGGTGTATTTAATGCTCAACATTGTGGACGTATCGAAAACAATAAAGGATGGAACAAAATACAATTAAGTTAATAACTTTCAGTACTATTTTTAGAAATCGACAAAGCTGGACCAAACTTAATTTAACAGGATCATGTATATTAATCATTTCAGGACTCGTCAGTGATGCAAGGATACTCAAGTATTAAAACTTAAAAGGCGACATAGAAAATCAAATTTAGCCTAAGTCAATCACAAACTGTAAGTATTAGTCCAATAATCATATGATTTTCATTATTAGACCCTTTCCATGAATAAATGGCAGAGAGAGAGAGAGAGAGAGAGAGAGAGAGAGAGAGAGAGAGAGAGAGAGAGAGAGAGAGAGAGAGAGAGAGAGAGAGAGAGAGAGATCGTTGCCATTTTCAACTTACAAAATCGTTATTCTATGAGAAGAAAGAGACAGTGATTTGATAAGTCCAGGGTATCAAAGTATTAGCTTCAATGAGTAACGAATGGACAACGTACCTTTGAAAGCAGGATGTGCCACATGAGGTAGAAAGTGTCTGGGAGTGAAGTAGTTGTCCAAGTAGTTTTTGTAACCAGCTCTGTTATAAATATAAAAAAAAATCAGGCGATTACATTGTGAACTATGTCTACATTTATTGACAAACTTCATTTACAAATAGTAAGTTATTAAAAGTTGTTCTAGAAAAATATTTAAATTTGGATTGGTCTGGATTAATAGTTGGAAGTTACACACTACTAAAGAAACGTTCATGATATGAATAATTACAAGATTACGGAATTCGACGGTTGTTATGGTTTTAGCTACATATTTCGCATTTAACTCCTATCAATAATTTGCAAATAAAAATTACTTACCCTTCCATGAACGGCATCAAACCCGCTGGTCTCGACGTAGCATTATTGTTCAGAGCAAGTAATGTTTGTACAAAGGAGTTTTGCAAGAACGGCTGTTGTTTCTGCAAGATATTTTCCTGAGTTTGATTGGCAATGTTCATCAGCATAGATGAGGATGAGCACATTCCGTGTGGCATACCCGTTGACAGTAAGTTGGGGATGACTTGAGATGTGTGGCTAGTGCCACCCGACTCTGAGGTGGTGGTGTCGCTCTCAGAATTATCAGAGATTTGTTCGGCAACTTTGTCGGGTAAGTTATTTTTGTTGTCGTCAGTCTCGTTACTGTTGGGTGATGCAGATAAAACGGAGGGTGGTTGGCAAAATTCTTTTTCAGTAGAAACTGTGTTTGTGTCTGGTTCCTCCTTACATTCCGGAATATCGTTACAGATTATTTGTTCTTTCGTTTCTGTATCAACATCATAAGAAGATTCACTTTTACCAACAATGTCTCCGCCTCGTTCTGAGTGAACGTCTATTTCGTCCGGAAGTAAAGAATCATCCAGGTCGTCGGAACTTGTTACCGTATCAACCTCTAGATCTTCGCCGCCATCTTGTATTTTCATGTCTGTCTCTGAATTACCGTCCTCGTTCACGGTATCACTTTGTGTGGTACTAGGTTTGGTCTGTTGTTGAGCAAATCGTTCACTCTTTCTCCACTTTGCTCTACGGTTTTGGAACCAAACCTGGAAAGGAAAAAATAACTAACATTTAATCTAATAATAAATCTATTTATTTCACAACAGTGGCGAAACAAGATTTCCAAACCTAAATCAATCACTTTTGTTGGCCCTGATAGAAATACGCAAATGGTCATACTGTGGGAGGAAACTGGAGTACCCAGAGAAATACCCACATGATCGGGCAGGTGATTCCAAGCTTTTTCACATCCGTTCAAGGATTCGAACCCCTTAGGTCAATAGCATCAATAGATATATCTGTTCAACGTTAGTTATTTTTGATATTTTCTCTTGCACATCATCTTGATATCTGCGTTAGTAAATTAGAACGTATTTTGTTTAATTGTCTCTAAATGATGCACGTTGCTTTTGTTATGTTGATTTCTAATTACGTTTGTCTCCTGTCCTGTCACGATTTAATTATTTCCGTGTGGTAATTCGATTGCGTTAAAAATCAGTTTTCATCCTAGAATTAACAAATGATAGCCATTTCTATTTGCATGGATTGTACGTTATGAAGGCATATGCATTTATCATATCACAAAATAACGATCTATAGATGAAAATAATCATGTTTTATATTTTCTTCCGGTTCTGGTAAATTGCATTTTTGTTATCAAACGGGAAATAATGCCTTGAACAATCGCATGCTACACTTGATATCTCAACACAATTGTTTTAAAATAAGATTTACTTTGTAATTACATTGCGTGAGCACATGCAAATGTTAATGTAACTGAATGTATTGGCCTGGAAAGATTTTAGGGAATAGAGTTATGACGTTTTTATTTGTGCATTGTTTAATTATACAAAATAACAAAATAAATGTTAAGTAATGTATTATCCGTTCACAGTACCTTTGTCAAATAAGCAAAATGTACGTATACTGACTACAAGATGTTTCAGCTTACTAAGTGGCAGTTATGCATGGTTTATTGCCAATTAAATATATCTATTCTTCGTCACTCATGCGTGTTTTGTAAGACTGTCTAGTCTCTATGGTTACTAGGATGTTTACAATAAATCTGATCAGACGCTGAAGAGGCCTGCAGTAAAATGTGATAACCCTACAATTTGTTGAAATATGATGAACACTTATATAATTGTTCCTGAAGATGAGGCCTTGTCATATTATTGCTAATGAAATTTACAAGCTATAAAACCGGCGTAAGATAATAGATTGATAAAACATTTTAAGGGAAACGAATGGTCTCTAGCTATCAGATTTCTACTGTGTGAAATACAATATGAATACCTATTCGGGAAAAATACCATGTTATGAAGCCTATTTGTTTTCTTCAAACAGTTTTTTACACATAAATCACTGATTTTATGCATTTTGATAGATATTTTACATCCTGTTTTATATCACTAATGATATTAGTAATGTCACATTGCTTATTGTATCACCTGAATAACAAAGTCCGTACATTATTGTCTTGTTTTGAGGATGATTTACAAGAATGCATGCATCATTTTTAGTCAATTCGAATTGAGGGAACTTTTTCATAGGCTCTCTTATTGACAAGAAATAGAATTACCTGTACACGTGCTTCAGTCAAATTGATTCGCATGGCTAAGTCTTCTCGAGTGAAAACATCTGGATAATGCGTTTGGGCAAATGCTTTCTCAAGCTCTTCAAGCTGAAAACATAAGACAAAATGTTGTTTCAGGTCGTAATGAAGTCTTGTATAAACATTCTGATCTTATCTGCAACTTTTAGAGTGCATATGGGCTTATCCAAATCAACCTCAAGTTAAAAATTATATTTGTGTTTTTTTACATATTGAAAAACATTGAAGGAAGTGGGGGAGTTGGGGGAGGGCGGGAGTGGGGGTTGAGTTCGGCATCAGTGTTTTAAAGTATTTCAAACAATACGGAAATAATATAATTATCAATTATGAGGCAAAAGTGATTAGTTGATCAGTGTCTGTTGTATCTTTATGTATTCACAAGCGTACCTGCTGGAGTGTAAATGTTGTCCTATTTCTTCGTTGTTTTCGTCTAGCAAAGCTGTCATCTTGAAAATCGGTGTGTAGTCCATAGCCGGAATCTGAAAATATACAACCATTTTTGATCATCAAAACAACGTGTTATAACCACTGTGTAATTATATCACAAGGAGGCATCATCTTTAATTTGTTAAATACAAGATATTACACAAACTGTGGCATTGAAATGATAAATGATCCATGCTTAGTGTATTTGTAGGTTTTTTATTTTCATTATATTCGTCAGGAACATGATCGTTAACATATTTATTTCAGAAAACTGTCATTGGAGTTTTCGTGAGGATGAATTGTTATATCAACTATCCCTTTTTATCTTTAAAATATTGAAACTTTAGCTGGTTGTGTAAATTGCTTCCTTATCGAAAGAATTCGATTTCCCACATGGTATATATCATCGAGAGAATTACGTTTGGTAATAGTGTATACATGACGTTATGAACAAATTATTCAACGTAGATATATGACGTTATGTACAAATTATTCACCGTAGATATATGACGTTATGTACAAATTATTCACCGTAGATACATGACGTTATGTACAAATTATTCACCGTAGATATATGACGTTATGTATAAATGATTCGCCGTAGATGTATGACGTTATGTACAAATAATTCCCCGTAGATGTATGACGTTATGTACAAATAATTCCCCGTAGATATATGACGTTATGTACAAATAATTCCCCGTAGATGTATGACGTTATGTACAAATAATTCCCCGTAGATGTATGACGTTATGTACAGATTATTCACCGTAGATATATGACGTTATGTACAAATGATTCGCCGTAGATGTATGACGTTATGTACAAATAATTCGCCGTAGATGTATGGCGTTATGTATGAATAATTCGCCGTAGATGTATGGCGTTATGTATGAATAATTCCAAGTAGATGTATGACGTTATGTACAAATAATTCACCGTAGATGTATGACGTTATGTATAAATGATTCCCCGTAGATGTATGACGTTTTTATGAATAATTCACCTTAAATGTATCACGTTATGTATGAACCATTCACCGTTAATTTTTAACGTTATGTAAAAATAATTAGCCGTAGATGTATGACGTTATGTATAAATAATTCGCCGTATATGTATGACTATATGTATGAGTCCTTCACATGTATGTCGTTTTGTATGAAACATAACTCGTGGTAACATGACGTCATGCTTAATTTACTCATCTTAGATGTATGGAATGTGTAAATTATTTCTTATGGGTGTATATAGTTATGTATAAATCTTTCTCTGAAGATGTATGACATTCTGTATAAATCATTTCCCATGGACGTGTGACATTCTTTATGAATCATTCATCATTCTATATGTATTGTTTAAGGCTACATATGGATAATTCATTTAATACAGAATTCGTAGTCAATTATTTATTACTTTGTAAGATATCAATTTTGTAAAAGATTTTCAAACACAAAATTTGCACACTTTGCACCATTTGGCTTATCATTCCATGTATAGATACAACTCTGTACATTGGTATTAAATTATCTCCCATTATAGAAAAAATAATAATAAATGTCAATACTCAATATCTAAAATTGAATTTTCATTGTCATTTCCTTATTTCTGATTACGCTGACAAGGTCACACAAGCTTTCTATATTTACTTTAAATACGAGTGTGTAAACGCCGTTGTTTTAGTATTGTATCAGACATGACGATGCCATGTTATATGGTGGTAATTTTCTCTAGGGAAATGTCTGAGAGAAAAACATCTTTTACAAACATCTCAGTGTCTGACACTTTTAATACAAGAAACTATAATTGTTTTCCCTGAGCGGTCATTGCTGTAACAAAACAGCTCACTAACCCAGTCCCCTGACTTGTCACAGGACATGGCTGCATTAGTCCTTTTTACAAATTGAATATATCAGTCAATAACTGGCCAAGATCCCCATAGAGATTGATGTAACTAGCTGTGGTTCTTTGTAAATTTCCTATATATAGATGACACGGCCATTACATAACACCTCCACCGCATTAAGTTCAATTAAACTCTCCCCGCTACCTATACATACTAGGCTTACGTCTGGGCGAAAATCGCCCTTATCTAATTTACGCCTTACTTAAATGATGTTGGGTGATACGTTGATGATATTAACAGCTTTGAAATTTTATAATAACATTGGATAGCATTACAGCGCCTCGACGCCATAAAGCACAAACCCAAACCTTACCATAAACGAACTTTAACCAAATAAACATCAACGAATAGGAAAATACATTGCTTTAGACATAGGAAGGATTCATTCAATAACACAAATTTGATTTTCTTTTTAAAAATCGACTTTAGTTTGATATGGCCTTTAGAGATGACTTTGTAGTGATGATACGCCCGGACTCCGGTGACACATCTCGCTATAGCCTTACCTTAATTGTTTCTCGGTAAGTATTAAATTTCAAAGGTAATCTAATTCAATATTGACGCTAGCTATCATTAGACACCGCGCTTGGAGATCCCATATTACCTTAGGTAAATATTATTAAAGCCGCATCTTATTTCCCCATTTGCACGCGCTCGCGTGCCAAAAGAAATTAGTCTCACTTAGTGTGCATTGCCTATGGACACGGCGTGGACAAATCCGCGTTTTTCAATGATTTTGTGATTGAATAAAGTGCTGTGGTAAACGGCATGTTTTGATCAGGAGTCACATAATGGCAAAATTACATTATCTATGTGTATAAATCACAAATGAGTGACATTAACAGTCTTGTAAAACAAATTTACACATTTAGGTTTTCTAGGGTTTGATTCCCACAGGTAAAACCCGTATATATACTCAATGCGTGCTGGAGAAGCCTTTCGAAGTTCAGTGTTCCATAAATATGTCATTAAAACACGTAAATACTCCCTTAATCTGTCATTATTCGTTCTCATCCAAAGACATCTTACTCCAGAAAAGACGAATGCCCAAGCACCATCACATGGTAATCAAATAAGCTGATTTACAATACAAAGATCTTAATGACAGTGAAACACCAAAGAATGGGTAAGATAAATTTCCTGTCTGGTCGACGCGACTATCGTCAAACATCACATTTGAATTAAATATTTTATTGGAAAAGACTGTTATGTTTCTTTATTTTCTAGAAATGGAAAAACTGAATATTATTTGCTATCAGTAATTAGGTAATGTAGTACGATACCATGCATTTTTAGTTGAAATAATATGATATGGTACGTAAAGGGAAATAATGTTGGTAAATGTAATTATATACAACACCTAAGTGTCAAATGTTGATAAGTAAAATACTTTTTGCTAGCATTACTGCATATTACGGTATTATATGCAATGTCATAAAACGATAAAGTCTCATAAAAGCGATATCTAGTCAAATAATTAAATCGACATGTCTAGTACAATAAGTGAAATACCATGTCACGTGAATTAGTATCGCTGTAAGTATAGTAAAATTTGAGTTTTGTCATATCTCGATATCAAATTCTACAAGGCCCCATGTCATGTAAAATTTCAAATAGTCTTCTAATAGTGTCATGTCATTTCGCGTAAATTTATACTTAAATTGACATATTGTTTCGTTAAAGCGTACAATATCTTAGAAATATGTACCCTGCTAAATCTCGTAGTGTTTATTCCATATTATATCTCGAGAAATTTTTACCAAGTCATAATTCGCATAAAATATGTATCATACTATTATAAGACATTGTAATATTTGTAAGACAATGTAGTGAGTAATATTTGTACCGTGACACGTATTGTACAATTTGTCATGCATTGTAAAAGTTTAATAGGTCATGTCTTGTATAATTTTTGTCTTGTCATGTTTTACAAAAGTTTTTACCGTATCACGTATTGTACAATTTGTCCCAGGTCGTGTATTTGGTAGTTTGTGCCATTTTAATTTGTACCATGTCATGTATTGTGTAGTTTGTACAATCTTATATTTTGTACAATGTGTATCATATTATGTCCCATAAATCAACATAAAATGAAATGATGTATCTGGTTTTTAGCAGGATGCATCACGGCAATATTGAATATACTAATATCGATTACAATACATCTACTGTCCGCTTTTCATTTCAGCTTACACAGCTTGGTGAATCATGACGTCATTACAGAGACGTATAACATATATATATATATATATATATTGATAAGGAAACCATTCTTTGTATTATTTACGACACTGATCTGGATAAATTGAACATCTTTCCTAATATCATATTTATCTTAGTCCTTCTTTTACATTAGCATTATTGTCTTCAGACTTTTCTTTACATGGAATGGTTTTTAAAATAAAACTACTTATTTTATTGTACATAAAAAATAATAAATGTTTAAGTAGATTACACTACAGATGCTTTAATGAGATATTTGAAAATGTAGTTGAGTTTCGCATTGTTATTTAATGTCAATATTATTATTTACAATTATAGAGAAATTTTCCGGAGGTCGTCATTCTCACTTTACTAATTTTACTAAAATTATAAAACAAATTAATTGCTTGTCTTGATTTGAGACTGATATTAGTATTTACATAGGTTAACAATTTTGTTGAAATGGATAAGTAAGAGGAGTGTAGGAAATTTTATCATTATAACATATATACACATCAAGTAAATTAAAATAAAGAAATTGAGAGTGAAGTCCATACCCGGAAAGAATCTATATGCCAGTGAAGCATAAGATAAGCAATGAGTCAATTGCGATAAATTTCAATTGCAAATTAATGTAATAGTATCTATTTAAAATTCTATCAAATTTTTATTCCATTTATTTTTTATATTATAAAAGCGTCCTGTTTCGAAAAGTGGTTGGATACCCATTTCTTTTCAAAGTTTAGAAACCTATACTTAGGATAGTTATAGTTTCTATCACATGCAGGTAAGATTAATACTAGCACAGATAAATGTAAAACCAGGTTTTAACCTTATGACCACACACAATTTCACTATATACACCTATGTAAGACGTCTCGTTAACATTTTGAGCCATGCCACATATATCTCCTGGTAATTAGCAGCTGCACATTACAATATTCCCTC